GACATTGCCCGGTCTGACCGGGCGGAAGAAGAAGAGGTGCCTGGCAAATTCGTTGAAGAAGCTGCTCTCGCGCCCGACCGGGCGAGCCTTCGCCCGACCGGGCGAGCCTTCGCCCGATCGGGCAGACCTTGCCCGGTCTGACCGGGCGGTGGGGGTTGGATACGTTGAAGCATTCGTATGGAGTTTTCTTCTCGCGCCCGATCGGGCAGACCTTGCCCGGTCTGACCGGGCGGAGAAGGAAAAATGCGGAGACGCGGATTTTACGATTTAAAGTTATCTTATTTTATTATCTTTTTGCCCAAGTATCTTTTAATTAGGGATTAATATAAAACCTCCCTAATATCAGTATTAGGGTTAAGAGAGACAGAGTGAAAGCCGTTCTTGAGAAATACAAGAATCATCTTTGTAATCTTTGCAGTTTATAGTGAAATCATTCGATCTCGGTGCCCGTGGACGTAGCTATCACATCGATAGTGAACCACGTAAATTCTTGGTGTTGTTCTTATTGTTTGCATTGAATTTCTTTATTGTTTTCTTGTTTGTTTTCGACCTTTGCTTCCGCTGTCGCACAACAATATCAAGAAGATTTGATAACTGTAATCAGATATCTAAAAAATTGTATACGTGACTATTAATTCCGGGCTTATAATCAGATATCTATGTAATGTGTACTGCCAATGTTGTATTCATGTTGCTGCAAATGTTATAGATCAAGTAGAGAATCTGAGTTGCTTTAAGAAGTAATCACAGATACAAGAAAGAGATTTTTTTGTGGGATTATCTTTGGTAGAGAGTCTAATGATAACTGGATGGGATTTTAGGTGGCAACTTGAAGTATTAGTTCAAACAAAGTAATTGCATCAAATTGGACAACTTAATACTTCAGAAACAAGGCTTGGGCGAGATTGTCTTACACTGATATCACTCGAGACTTTGCCATACTTGACACATTAACATTTTGCATTTTAGACCAAAAGCAAGTGTAGAAGGGTGAGATAATAGTATTAGGATCTGACCCTTGGATCCACCCCGTACCTGTTCGGAGACTTATTTCTGACTTTTGAGTAGATGTATTAACGCTATTGAATACAAAATCATCAGTATAATTATGGATAGGGAACAATAATTATATACTTTGTTTATCAACTGACATCATCCCACTCTCAAATCTATGAATATGCGTAGTTTGCATCTTCTTAATGCTGTCTCTTGTGGATTTCAGATTTTCAGCCTATTTGTTTGTAGAGTATTAGAAGAGAGACGTAGGTTTGAGACCTCTGCATTTGTTGGTCTTTATTTATGCTTCCACTATACCAGAAAAAGGGAGGCAAGCAGGCAACTACTAGCAAGTATTTAGCTTTTTTTAGATTAAGGTTTGAGAAATTCTGAGATATGCATGTAGAATGGAGAATGTAGAATATTGTTGGAAATCTTGAAATGTCAAATGTTGATGCCTTTTTTGTTTGCCTAATATCTAGAAGAACTGATTGGTAAACGAGTAAAGAAGAAACAAATAGCTGGGATAGATCAGGATGAGTTACTGGACCCAAGACAATTAGCTGATCCAGACAGCTGTTTTTGTGAGTTTAAAGGGGTACATGTACATTATAAAGTATGCGAAGCAGAACCATCTATGTCAGAGGAGCAAGAAACTTCTCAGCTTCATGTTCCAACTACAAAGCTTGGTTTTCCAATGATTTTTCTACATGGCTTTGGTGCCTCTACTTTTTCTTGGCATCGAGTTATGAAGCCTTTTGCACAATTAACTGGTTCAAAGGTTTTGGCATTTGATAGACCAGCATTTGGGTTGACATCAAGAGTTAGACATTCAACACATTCTCATGCCAGTGGTGATACAATGCCTCTTAACCCATATTCTACAGCATTTTCTGTGCTGGCAACTTTGTACTTCATCGATTTCCTTAAATCAGAGAAGGCAGTACTTGTAGGGTGAGTATTTGCTTATGTATCACATAATTCTTTCACGAGCTTTATGAATCATGATCGTGCTCAATACTTCTCTCACTTTACTATTGTGAATACTGTTGTCTTCCTAAGTGTTGCTAAAGATTATGCACAAGGATTAAGTAGGGCAACTGAAAGTGACTGAAATACTCCTATTTGGGTAGTATAGCAAGAAAATTGTTACTCAAATGAAGGCAGCTAAGACTGTAAGAGGTGGATGACCTGCCATGGGATTTGTTAACATAAATTTACTCTAATACCGTAAGAACAGGCATATGTCTTTTTTTTTTTTTCTTCAAATATGGCATCTGGAAAACAAAATTGACCGTCCTAAGCAATTTTGGTTGAATTAAGCTTCTCGTCTACGTTCTTTTTACCCCTGATATTCAACCTTATTGAGCAGTAGCTATAATCATTTATTGTTAATTATACTGTTAGAAGCTGTACCGTTTAAAGAAACCTTAAAGCTAACAAATTATCTATATTGATGTTTAGGCATTCAGCTGGGTCTCTAACAGCGGTGGAAGCATACTTTGAGGCTCCTGACCGAGTTGCTGCATTGATTCTTGTGGCACCAGCAATAGTAGCCCCGCGTTCAGCCACCAAGTCTGCTAAAGAAAATCAGTCAGACAAAGACAATAAAGTCCAAGAAAGCAATTCTACTTCAGATAAACGTCCAAATCTGTTTGCGAGGATTGGACAGGTCCTGTCAAATTTTTACAGATACATTGCAAACACAGTAATGAAAGTGTTGAAAGGGATGCTGAATGTAGTTAACTCCCTGTACACAAAAGCTTTAGTTGCAATCTTGCGCTCAGCTGTAGCCATAACATTGGTAAAATTCTTCCTCAGCTCATGTAGTGCTGTCTGTATGTTGCTATTCATACTTGGGACATATCACATATGAGAAATGAGAATGATCTCCTGTCTCTTAGGTAAGGATGATTATTGACAAGTTTGGCATTGCTGCCGTTAAAAATGCATGGTATGATGCAACTCAAGTTACTGACCATATTCTACATGGTTATACAAAGGTGAGTTGTACACTTTCTTTCTTTTTTTTTATTTATTTATTTATATTTTTTTATTTCTTCCTTAAATGTTTGAAGTGCATCAATAAAAACTAAACAAGATTTTAGCGAGATTAAATGCCCCTATTCTGATGCAGCCACTTCGAACAAAAGATTGGGATAGAGCTCTCGTGGATTTTACTGTGGCTATGTTGACAGATTCTCAAGCTAAACTGAAGCCACCGTTGGAGAAAAGACTTCAAAATATTTCATGTCCAGGTAATATAGAGATCAGTAAGTAATATATATCTCACCAATTTGTCTGTATACAAGCAGAAACTTGTAGAGAAACCTTATCCCAGCATGGCGTGTTAGGAAGTCTCTATCGTCATAGCTGCAATTAGGAGGAATGAAACTTGTAATAAAATATGACAGAAATTAGTAGTTTGGCTTCTTCTTGTAGAATCTGTGTGGCCCATATGAGACAAATCATGAGTGCTTTGATTTAAGTGAGGCAGTCAGGAATTTGTGAGGATTGGATTAGGTTTATCACAGTAATTAGTTTATTAGTTCAATAGATTGCAGCCTAAATATATACATAGTATGTGTTTATTAAGCTGCGAAACTGGTGTCTCCAAATTTCTGGTGTGAGAGAGTCAACTATGCATAAAAACAAAGCTTCCTTTGTCCTAGAACACAGAGATGACATTGCTTTAGGGCACAGAATATGGAGGGAGAAAAGGATGAGAAAAAAATGGGCTCGATTGCCATGGTAGGCATGGGTTCCTAATTTAGAAAATAATTAGAGAGAAAAGCTTAATGACAGTTGTGTGTTAACCCTGGGTCGTCCCAAAAGGGATTTTTAACAAAGCTCTATTATGGAGGGTATAGAAGTGTAGAACAGTTAAAAATAAAACTTCCAAGTTTTTTCACTATCAACTGTATGATCTGTCAATGTATGCTTTCTACAAAGGTCTGTCTAGTATGTCTAGTAGCATTTTGATAGCCATAGATATATCATAATATCAGGCCAATGAGACGTAAACTTTGATACCATACAGTTAATCAATTTCCCTCACAATTTTGTATGTTTATGATTTCTGAAGTAGTATGATAAAGTTGACTAACTTGTCTGATTTCATGATGATTTCAGTACTGATTATTACGGGTGATAGTGACCGGCTTGTTCCTTCTTGGAATGCTGAAAGGCTTTCACGAGCAATACCTGGCTCACAGCTTGAGATAATGAAGAGTTGTGGCCATCTGCCTCATGAAGAAAAGCCAGATGAGTTTGTATCTATTGTTGCAAACTTTTTTAACAAAGTTTTTTCTGGTTCAGGAGAATTTTGCATGCAAACATGAAGATTATTCATCCATGTGCATAGTTAAGCAAGTAATTAACCATCAACTTATTATGTTGTACCATTCTTCATGAAAGATGCTAAATCCCGCTTCTAAGCAGTTGGTCTATTTGTAAACTTACGTGCACATACGTATTAATTTACATGACTAAAAGTCATTATGGTGTTTTTCTGTAAAATCTTTTTGTTGTATGGCTCCATGTGATGTTTAGAAATTTGCACTTATCGTGGTCTGGGTGAAGCGATTTTGTTGAAGATGCACCAAGGCACCCAACTTTTTTTTTTTTTTGCACAAAATTTTACTGTTCTTTAGGTGTGCCGCAGTTTAAAGAGGGGCAGAAAACTCCAAATCGCCTTGGTGCACCTTAAATATTTTGACATTGCTCCTTTATCAAAGTAAATCTTGACAGGAAGGAGACTAGGCACTGATTAGCTGCTTACAATGGGTAAAAAAAATTACCTATTACTGATGATTTGTCTGTTGATGATTAGAAGTTCCATTACGTCTCTATTTCAATGACGAGGAGAAGATATAGATAACAAACTGTGAAGTATTATGAAAGGTACCCATGTCTTAAAACTGTTATAAAAGACGGTTGCAATGAGAATCATAAAAAGTACCTATGCAGCATACAAAAAAAAAAAAAAAGAAGTGAACTATGCATGTTTAAGAGTACTTTTTTTTTAAAAAAAATGCATGTTCAGATAAGGCTGTGAAGCTTATTTGGTATTCAACATGTAAATATTCGTAGCTCTTAACCTGACCATATCTGTAATCACAATTTCAGATTAACAAACAAAACGATTCTTATAACATTACAAGTTTGAGAAAGATAGTATAATCTCTTTATCAGAAAGGATCAGTTGCAAAGGCAAAGGTAGCATCTCGTATTCCTGCAGTTGGGATATCATATCCTGACATAATATCATCACCAAAGATCACAGCACCAGCAGCTAGAGCTCCTGCGCCCAAACCCACTCCAAAACCTGGCCCAACACCCCGTCCTGCTCCTGATGGCATGTTAACATATGATGTGGATGGATCATTGGTTCGTGGAAGAAAAGTGGGTACATAACCAGTGTGAGAGGATGGCGGCATTGGAGGTGGTGCATGTGGCGGGGGAGGAGGATACCCAGGGGTTCGGGTTGGTGGATAACTTGGCCTGCCAGCGTGTGGGTTTGAATAGTTTGTCGGGTAATTTGAGCTGCTGGCTGGTGGGTAACTTGGTCCAGCAACAGCAGAATTTGAATGGTTTATTTGGTGTGGCATAGGATGATTATATGGACGATTTCGAATAGTTACAGGCGGACGAGGATTCCCAGGCTGGTGAAATGGCAACTCAGCTTGTCCTGCTGGCTGAGCTTGGTATGGTCCTCCATTACTCGGCATGTTAAAGTTACTGCTGCTGTCTCTTAAGTTGAATCCATCCTCATTTCCTACCATGACAGAAGACACAAATATCATGCCATGTCAAAGAAGTAGCGAAATAACTGTGTTCTCTTCTACAAGATGCTTACAACAAATTAATTCAAGAACACTTATATTGGAAAATTCACATACAACTTGCTGGGTTAAAAATTTTCACCTCATCAACGATTTGAAGATCGCATCCCATTTTTCTATATATCGTGAACCTAGGCTACAACGGACTTGAGTGAGCTAGACCACGGCTGAGTCAACAACCTGACCCTGGTTCTGATCCCAGCCTTGCCTAGCCTGGTCTCAAGCCAAGTCTGGACTTGAAAACACTTTCCTTAAAAAAAGTTGGGTTCTTTTAGCTTGGTTTAATCAACATTTATCTATTGTTTAAATTTCAAATACATATTCCTCTTTTTCCTTTTTCTAACGCTACTTTTACTTTTTCATTCCCTTGAATAATCAATCAAATTTACATTTGTAAATGTCTCATTTTCACTCCATGTTCCACAGTTCCAGCCACGAAAAAAAGGGGACAGAGAGACGAGCCCAAGTTCGAGTTTCAAACCTTGTGGCTTGTGCTTAACATAGAGCACAAACCCGAGCATTTGCTCAAGCTTTACCAAGCCAAGCCCCTACTATATTGGATCATCCAAAGCATGATATTGGTCATAATAATAGTTCTGAAATGCAAAAGAAACAGAAAAATCAGCTTACCTAGAAAAAAATGTGAGCTTGTTCCTTCTTTTTCTTCTGAGATCCTGATAGAGACATCGATAAATCCTTGAGGTTTATTGGAGTTTTTCTTCCTCAGCTGGAAGCTTCCAACATCTTCATTTCCCTGATTTGATCCTTCAGAGTTCTTACAGTGTTTAGCTAAGAACTCCCTTAAGATAACAGTTGCACTACCCTGGTGCTTCTCTCTGAGAAAGACAGGCTCCCTGCTGTAAACCTCAACGTGCAGCGCCATATCTTGGAACTCTGACTCTGAAGGATCGATGACAGTCGTGAACTTGGTCTTCCATACAGGATTTGCATTCCCTGAAGCATCAATCTTGGTGCAGTACTTGTTGTTGGGATCAATCCAACCAACTGCATACCATTGATACTTCCAAAGTGAAGATCGAGGTAGCCCTCGAGCTGAAATCAGGCAAACCTCGACCCAAATCTTCCCCATTGACAATGAGCCTGATTGCTTCATCATGCTTACTTAGCTGCAACAAAGTAGAAATACTGCAGAGAGAATATGTTCACTCCTAGTTTTGGGTGGAATTGGTAAAGTTGGGGGAAAAAGGACAATAAAGTGGGGTTCTCTAAACTTCAAATCATTTCAATACTTCATTGACAAGAAAATACTAGACTAATTGTGCATCAAAATCAAGGGATAACCTCTAATTTGCTGTTTCCTTGACTAATTAAGCATCATAATCAAGGGATAACCTTCTTTTTAGTACCACTAAATAATTTAAATGATAGTTGTACATATAGGAAGAATATATGAATAAATAAGAAATTTTAGTGGCAGATTTTGAGCTTAAGAACATAATATATATTCATAAAAGGACTTCTGAATATATTTACTGATATTCTACAGATTAAAGGGATAGATTCATTCACTTTCAGCAAGCTAAGTTTGGAGGTTGTTTCTGAGACAGAATGGGTCGTCTTAGAGGTGGTGCTGCTAGCAGTTTTCGACCAGCTTGTGTAATTATCCGGTCATTGTCAGAAATGCTAGAAGCTGTGTTTGTGTACATCATTGTTGTTGATCCTAAAACATCGTCTCCAAATCCACATGCCGCGAAGAATAACCTGTAAGATGTAGGTATGAGATACATCCTCCCATTGATCATCCCTGAGTTCCTAAATTACATTCCTACTTCTAGCATTTATTCCTCGCATAATAGAGAGAGGTAGGAATGTAATTTAAGGACGGAGGGAGTATCTTTTAAGAAAAAATGATGTGCTTGGAGCGATACCTCTCTTCCTCGGAGCAGAGAGCTGATATGTCGTATATTCCTTTATTAGTAAGAATTCTGAAAGACAGTAAAAAAAAAAAAAAAAAAAAAAAAAATCTTAGACCAGTATGCTAGTTTTATCATTTATTTGTAATGTAGGTATGATAGACTGGTAGTAAGCATCTATGTTACTCGGACTTGGGTACTAGTATGTCAGAGACGGGAATTTATGTAAATGAACCTAATCTTAGCTTCAATGTAGTGTCAAGTGTTCATTCCCCTTTCAGAGTACTTGTTGAAGTTCCTTGAACAAAAACTTGATTTTGAAATGAAAAGTCCGAATAACATAGCTGCTTATACAAACACGATACAAGGAATTAAATCAACCTTAAGATTCTTTGAACAATCATGTGACCAATTCCCAACCGTCGCAAAGAAGGAATGACCTGAAAATAATCACCACTATTTAAAAAAAAAAAAGAGGAAACTAATCTGAACCATATCGACGGTTAACATAGACATTATTGACACAGTAAAATTAAGTACAAATCTTTTAAACAAAGCACAAATTCTATTTAAAATAGTGAGTGATGGATAGCTCAAGTGGTTAAAACTTTCCTCCCGATCCCCCCGCCCTTGTCACTCTCTAAACACCAAAAAAACAAATTCTATCTAAAATGACCGGCTACCAAACGGGCCGTATCATAATCAAATCATCAGCTACCAAACGGATAAAAAAATAAAATAATTACCCAAGAGACTAACCATGACATCATAGATAGAAGCAGTTAACCCCAGATCAGAAACTGCCCTTCCAAACCCAACCAACTCACCATTCTCCGGCGTCACCACCGTCGGCAACACCCTCCCCCACAACCCCTTTTCTCTCTCCTCCACGTCATCAACACCACCAACCTCGGCAAAAACCGACACCACCACAGAGCTGTTAGACACTGCAACACCGAGTTTTCGGTTGTCGATACCGTCTGATGATAGTGGAAACCGATGAGGAGAGTGATTGCAAGAGAGGTAAAGATTAGATAAAGTGTCAATGTTAATGTGTGATGGGTTTGTTGATATGAATATTGGAGGAAGTTTATTGTTTAATCTTTTGCCATTGTTATTGATGTTGTTGGTGTTACATGTAATAGGGGAGATGAGTTTGTTTGTTGATGTAATAGAAATTGCCATTTCTTCTCATTTTCAAGATTTTTTTTTTGGGTTTTCTTGAACCTCAAATTTGTGGTGGGGTTGCTTGTACGTGTGTTTATTTTTACTTTGATTTATACCTTATCATTGTTCACACGCTAGATAAGGGTAAAGGATTATAGGATCCGAGGAGAGAAGTGGAAATTAGAACTTAGAGCCTCTTCTGTTTAGCTTAATTTCAATTTACGAGTAGTTCGGTTCAATTTTAATTAATTCAGTTTCTAATTTATTTCTCTCATAAACAATTCATTTTATTTCCGTTCAGTTTCAAGTTCAGTCCCAATCAGTTCAGTTTAGTTGTTTGCTTGTTTTCAATAAATCGGAACAGATCTTTAGATTCGGAAGCATAATGCGCATCATATACTCTTGAAAGAATATAAAGTTAAAAGTAAAAGGTTTTTACTATTGTACCAGTAGATGTGTTTTGAATACTGATGATTTGTGTTTTATCTTGATTTTTGAGAAGATAATGTTGTACACTTCTAATCCACTAAATAGATGCTAGAAATTTGAAGGATTTGCCAACGTGTAAATGTGGCCTACTACCTTGTAGGGATGAGGTTGGTTTTTTTTTTTATTATTATTATAATATTTTTGTAAAGCTATAAGCAACATCACATATGAAACTGTAGATTTTTATATGACTTATTTTTTGGCGAAACTTTAAAACTTAGGGCCTGTTCCGATTGACTGAACTCAACTGAACTGAAGTGAACTTATTAATTAGTGATTTCTAACTACGGATTAGTGATCTTTGATTATTTATTGATTATTTATTACTATACATATGTGTATATACAAATGTACATATTATTATTAATAATAATAATATTATTATTATTATTATTATTAATTTTGATTATTATTATTATTATTATTATTTATTAATTATTATTATTATTATTTATTGATGATTATTATTATTATTTATTGATGATTATTATTAGTATTATTATTTCAATTATTATTATTATTATTATTATTATTATTATTATTATTATTGTTATTGTTATTTATTGATGATTATTATTATTATTTATTACTTATTGATTATTATTATTATTATTATTATTATTATTATTATTATTGTTAATATTAATATTATTATTATTTTTGTTGTTGTTGTTGTACTTATTATTATTATTATTATTGTTGTTGTTGTTGTTGTTAATATTAATATTATTATTATAGTTGTTGTTGTTGTTGTTGTGTCGTCGTCTTTATATCATTAGCAATATCATTAGACGTAAATTAAGAGCTGAGCTGAACTGAGCTGAGCTGAACAGAGCTGAACTAAACTGATCTGAATTGAACTGAACTGAATTTCAACGAAAGAGAACAGACCCTTAGGCATAATTGAAGAACTTGCTAATGTTTTATTATATAGAAATTCTTTTATTTCACCAAAAAAAAAAATATAGAACTTCTTTTATATGTAACTTTTATAAATCATACTTGTAGTATATTATGATATCATAATGGTTCTTTGAAAATCTAGGTCATTTCTATATTAAATACTGCTTGTATTTTCCAAGTTGTCAGGGCCAAAAATAGATTTTGCCTTTGCCTTAGCCTTACCATTTGCTCATCTACTAGAATGGTTAACTTTAAATGACACTTCTTGTGAATACAACCAAGCTTACTAGAGAGAACACTTTTTTTTTTCTTCTCAAAACTTAACATTAAACTATAAAATATATTTGTCACTACTAAATGTTCTCATATTCTCTTTATAAGAATACGTACACCATGCTTAGGCTCAACAATCATTCTATAAGTAGGTAAATGTATATACTTGGGGGACAAAGTGAAGCTAAATTTAGAGACAATGTTGCAAAGCAAGAGCTTCAATTGCACCATGGCAAAGTTTTTGCCAACACATAATCGAGCACCAAGTCCAAAAGGAAGATAAGCTTGGGGAACTTTGCAAGCATTAGAAACTCCATTAGCAAACCTTTCAGGCTTGAACTCATTGGCGTCGGGACCCCATATTTCTTGGTCTCTATGTAATGTGGGGATCAAGGTCCATATGCACACCCCTTTTGGGACCAAAATATCTCCAATTTGAAACTCTTCTAGTGCCTCCCTAGATATAAAGGCTGCCGGTGGGTACAATCTTAGGGCTTCTTGGATTACCATTGCCACCTGCAATTTTTTTAAGTTCATTCAGGTCGGGTCAGTTTTGTCAGGTCTACATTCGCTCCCCTAATAATCCGTCAATCACTAAGAAATAAATATGGGAACAAAGGGTTGAGAGAGATACCGATTTCATCTTAAGAAGAGTCTCAACATCAGGAACAAGAAGATCATGATCTTCATCACTTTTGCAAAATTGATTAACATCAGCCCTAATGTTATCTTGCCATTCAGGATGCAATGCCAACAGCATCAAGCACCAAGAAGCAGCCACGGCCGTTGATTCGTGGCCAGCAAAGTAGATGTTCTTACAATTGTCAACAATCAACTGCTTGGATGAACCCTTGTCCAAATCTGGATCGTTCATTGCCCCTTCAAGAATCCATTGCATGAGGTCCTTATCAGAGGAACATCTCTTAGAGCATTCTTGTACCCTATCTTGAACTGCCTCCCAAATTAGTGACTCTATTTCTTTTTCCAAGGAATTCACCTCCTTCTGAACTTTAGTGTTCAAGAACCTGTCAATTATAAGGTTCATCTATTTATCAACAAAGGCAAATATATGTTTATCCACTAATGAACATCAACTCATAGAAATGTAATTGTACTACTACCTCCGTTCCAGACATTTTTCCTCTCTTCTTTATGTCAAATCATTGCAAATAATATAAAACGGAGGTAGTACATAGAGTACTCTTTTTCTAGAACAAAACTCCATAACTATCATACACGATACGAGTTTAGTCTTTCCATGACACACCTATTATGTATTGTAACTATCTACTAGTAGTATGTTTTCAAACTTATGTACATTTACGTTTATTTAACTCAAACGGACCAATATAATCAGTTTTACATCTGAAAGTAAAAAGTTACCCTTATCATTCATATTATACTTGGTATATAGGATACACGCACAATTGAATAGTTAATCTTATTCAAAACTAAATACGAAATACAATCTATATTATTTTAAAAAACACGGAAAAGACCGTTTAACAAGCATATGAAAACATACGAAGTGCAAACCTGATTGTGGGCACCTTGAAGAGAAAATTTTGCTTAGAGAGAAGTTTTTGAAGAGTCCTTAGCTTTAAGAAAATCTTCTTGCCTTTAGAATAAGAGCTACCAAAGCAAGCCCTAGAAATCATGTCACCTGAAGTTGCCCTTAAATCTTCATCAACTCTCACCTCTGCTATTGACCCACCTTGGGCTTCAATACAAGCTTCCCATTTTCCCAACATTTCTTGGGCTGCCTCCTTCATCAAGCCCATCATGGTCTGTCCAAAATAATATCATCATAATCTTTCAAATTAATAGTTTATCTAAGAACAATTTAAATTTATAGTCATGTTTACTTCATAATTAATGTTAAGAAAAAGTTATCCAAGTATTAGTTTGTACCCCATTTTACTGAGCACGTCAACCAATAATGCAAACTTTTGACCAATACACAGTAAAAAGTTAATATTTGAAAAGTATAATGTTGCATTTTAACATGACTGTTTTTTTTTTTTCAAGTATAGCTCACCACATTTAGTAAATTGTGAAAATAGTATAAAAAGTCAAAACGTATTGGATAGAATAAAAAATGCTCGTACCTTAACTTTGTCCATAAAGAATTGTGCACCTATAATTTTCCTTTGTTGAGCCCAAAGAGTACCATTGGATCTCAAAATGCCATTGCCAAGCATAGGAGCAAGTGCCTTTGAGACGTAAGTAGGTTTACCCAAATGTAAAGTCATGCTTTGGCTCATCTCTCGCACTAGATCAGGTTGATTTACATATAAATGTTGCCTATTTCCTGTTGAATATGTATATATCGGACCTGCATCCCACATTACACACAAATAAATATCAAGTTAATGACTTTTAATCTATGTCAAAAATGTTTTGATTATTCTAAGTGTTCCTTGTCTTTTAAGTCTACTCCAGTACTCCATCCGTCCCACGTTATATTCTTGTTTTTCTATTTTGGAGACCCAAAATGTTGTCATTGTTTCTATTTTTGGACAGTATATAAAGATCATTATACCCTCATTTAACTTTATTCATTAAATTTTCTAAATTACCCTTGAATTTTCCTCTTACCTTGTACTTTTTCCCACTTTCTGTCTCTAACATTGTCCATAGTTATACTTTCATATTTTTTTAATGTACTTCATCTACTTTCTCCTTCCATATTTTAAATACCGTTAAAAAAAAAAAAAAAAAAAAAAAAAAAAAAAAAAAAAAAAACAAACAAAAACTATAAAATGAGAAGGAGGCAGTAAGTAGCAAATAGAGAATTGCAGTGCCTAGTTAATCATGTAAGCATGAAAACAAATCATGACCCTTAGGAAAGTGGCCCTTTGAAGAATTAAGTGGCAAGTTGTGAGTCTTGTGACATTCTTTTTATAGACATAGATAGGAATAGTCCATAGAGTAGCATGTACAAATCATGCTACTCTATCGACTAATAATTGGCCTTATAAAACATGTACATAACTAAGCTAGGTCGTACCTAGAAGCTAACTAGCATAACAACTTTCTTTATAAAAAAAAAAAGAAGGGGAAAAATAAATCATTATTGATTGTTTAAGTCAATACATTTAATTTTAATGTGCTAGATGGCTAATGCTTGTTAAAAGGACGAAAATATCTTTGTACGAGTTGAAGTGTGATAAGACGTGAATCATTTCACATGACGAACTTCCTTCAAATAATATTCTTGTTCACAAAGTCTAGTCTTATATGTGGCTGGCCACACCGTGTGGCCAATCACTATAGGAGTTACTTTGCTAGTGTAATGGGGGTTACTTAATCAGTGCTAAAAGGGTTACTTCATCATTGTTATAGAGTAACTCGGTCAGTGTTATAGAGGTTATTTGATTGGTATTACAGAGGTTACTTAATCAATGTTATAGGGGTTATTTTAAGTGGTCGCACGGTGTGGCCGGTCGCATATAAGACGAGCTGGTATCACTTTCGCATTGCATGTGGCTAGTTATATCGTGTGTTCAACTATCATATGAGTTACTTTGTTAATGCTATAGGAATTATTTATTCAGTCAAGGGTCGTTCAATTAGAAGTTACTTGGTGTGTGTCAGCTGAACATAAAAAAAAAGTTACTTTACTCTCGTTTCTTAACCAATAATAGTGCGATTCTATAGCTGTAGAGAAAGACCCCCCGCAGCCCTTTTTCGTGGGAATCCTGCTTACGTCATGTCGACGGCTATGATTCCCATGTTTCTTGACAGTCGTAGCTGATCTGGAGTTTGATTGTGATATTTTGTATCATAGTAGTATGACTGACTATTTCTATGCCATACACTTTGATTCTGTGACCAATAATTGTACTACTAAAATTGGTAAAGGTAAATAACAAATAACAAACCATTAGTAAATTTTCAAGCCCACTTTAGTCACTTACACACAATGTCTCATTATTGTACCCTTGTGTATAGTACAAAGATCTTTATCTCTTAGATTTTTTTAAAAATTTATGGCCTTTCAACTTAATAGGTGAGCATAATCAAATTTTACTATATTTCTATTATAGCCTTATAGGTTAGTTAATAAGTATGGAAATATTTAAAAACAATAACATAATAAACATTTTACAAATCAATATGGGTAGGCCAAAAAAGTTATTACAAGAAGACTACACGTGTACTTCTAGAAGTATCTTGATAGTTAATTTATTAGTTAAATACCCCATATTAAATAATACGTTGACCTTCTATTATCTAATTCTTAGGAATCAGAAATCGTAGTTAATATTACTACATGTGTTTGTGACGCCCTTTAAAATATATGCAGTATACGGAGTAATTCGCAAACCCAAGATCATCCATAAACATTTTTTATCGTTTACGTGTGTCTGTTATGCCTTTTAAAATGGATAGAGTACGAGTGTACAACCCATCAAGTTGTTTGCCCCTCTTTTACTTCCCTAAGGACAAGTTCTTACGCGTTACTCACCCGCCACTAAACACAGTATTATTATATACCATTACTCCAATATTATTATTACTTCCATTTCTTATTATGTGCAACAAAGGGGTATTATTTGTGAGACATAAAATATTCCTTTGTTACACATAATAAGAAACAGAGGTGGTATAAAAAATGCATAGAAAAAAACCAATCAAAAAACATAAATATAATATTAAATAAATAAAAAATTTAGTAAAAAACATACCATATTGATTTCTCCACTGTTCAAAGTAAGGAAAAAGAGTAGAAGTATAATCATGGCCAACAATTTCATCATGAGAAGAAGATTTAGCAACCAAAGATTGAATCCTCTGCATCTCAGGAACATTTCCAAGAAAAAAAGATGGTGAAGGACCATTAATCCCATATTTTCTAAGCTTTTTTCTCTGAATTTGAGACTTAACCCACAAATTATTCTTCCAAAAATGAACCAAAGAACTAATAACCCCACAAAATAAAAGGGAAATTATGATTAATTCTTGGAATTCAGAAAATACAGCAAATTCCTTCATTATTTTTTTTAACACTTTTTTTTGCTCTGTTTTTTTGTTTGAAAGAAAGGAGGAGAGAGAATAGTTGATGTGCCTACGTTATTGAAAGAAATGTCGAATTAAGTGACGCACATGATATATAATAGGTGTGTCTCCAAGTGTGCTATAAAAGCAAGATGCTTATGCTAATAAAATGTTAATTTGTGCATTAATTTATGTAAAAGGTGAGATAGGTTACATCATTGGTGTATAAAAATTAAACAAAGAATAATTTGTGTAGTAATAAAAAGATTTCCACTATTAATTTGTCATCTTTTATATAGGTAGGGACGTCGGGTGTATTCATATTAGCTTATTTTACAGAGTAATTTAGGGTCTGTTCTGATTTAATAAATTGAGCTAAATTGATTGGAGTTGAACTAAACTGAACTAAACTAAATAGAGCTGAAATGAATTGTTTATGAGAGAAAGAAATTAGGAGCTGAACTGAACTGAATAGTACTGAAATGAATTGTTTATGAGATAAGGAATTTAGGAGCTGAGCTGAGCTGAAATGAACTGAAATTAAACTAAAGAGAACAACCTCTAACTTACTCTATGTTTTGTAGATTTTGTATGATTTTGAACTAATCTGCCCTACTTATATTAGGAGGGATACCCAGTCGATTCCCCACATAAACAAGCTGGGGGTATAATTGTTTTTTCAAGTAGTAGTGGAGGGATATATGCGTCTTTTCATGTACTAGTTGAGAGGTACATATGTAATTTCCTCACCAGGGCAAACAGTAATTGGACTGCTCACCAAAAGTACTGAATAAATGACCCTGCTTTTTCAATATATTTACAAAAATGCTATCAGATTAACAAAAATTCGTTTATCTGGCATATTAACTTGTATTTTCCCTTATAATAGCTAATTTAATACATCAAAATAAACTAAAAATAACACGATCTTGTAATTTATCTATAGGCAATAATTCTACTTCATGCTAGTCTTGTTCTAATAGCTCTACCTCATATCTCTGCCCAACACCTTCTTCCCATTGTCTTGCAAATGGTATCTCCGCCAATGATTTTGCCCTAACCTCCCCAAGCTTACAAGTACTATTTTGCTATGAAGTACCATCCCTCATGTCTTTGTATGATCTCTATTATATAAGTGAAGATGGGAGGCTATGGTGTCTACCTAATATGACCACAACACCCCTTTTCTCAAAATTGGAAAAGATTATTAACATAAAGGGAAAAAGAAAAGAAATATTAGAGCAACTCCATTGGTTATAGCTAGGAATTGAACTTGCTTGCAATTTCCAAAAGTCTATAGCTATTAGCTTGACCATTGGAGCTAACAAATACAATTATCTTAGTCAAGTAAATTAGCTTTGCCAAGATAATTAGCTTGAAAAAAAAAGTTTCTAAAATTTTAGAGATTAGTATACTAATATAATTAAACTTTTTTAAGATAATATAAAAGGTTAAGCTCATTTAAATTGCAAGCCATTAGCTAACCATGGGGCACAAAATAGCTACACGAAAAAATAGCTTAAAGTCCTATGTGGCATGGCAAGCTTATGTAAGAATTGGCTTACCATCGAACATGTTCTTAATGAATGAGCAAATAAGAAGGAACGATTAATCAATGAGCAAATAAAAGGAAAGATTAAGGGCTTGTTCTGATTTACTGAACTAAACTAAACAAAATTGAAATAAATTCCCTCCCCTCCTCATTGGTTTCTTATCTTTCTTCTCCTTTTTCTCTTATTCAATTATTATTATTATTATTATTATTATTATTATTATTATTATTATTACTACGGGAGATTTATATAAAAATTATTATGAGTAGTTTTAATTATATAAAATCAGATTTTAATAATGTTTATGTTGAATTAATTCAAAAGGTTCATGTATATATAATTGGGAGGTTTTAATTTAATTATTTGTGATTATTTGTTAACCTTATATTAATTAAGGTTATATTTATTTGTAGGGTGTTTTTTTATCAAGCTACTTGAGGGTTCTTTTGAAGTGTTTTTGGCTAAGAGAAGATTAAGGTACGTTAGGTGGCTAGATACCTTGAAAGTGATTGGTTGAATAAGCATGTTTGAATGATTTTGTGATGTTTGAATTAAATTGAATTGAATTATGATTTATGAAATAAAAGTATGTATAAATGATTGGTTTTAATAATTAAATTGAGACATTGATTTTATATCATGTTTTGAATAATTAAAATTATTATTCATGTTTTAAAAAGGTTTGATATTGAAAGCATGTTGAATTTAATAAAAGAGTTTGAATTATTTGGAATTATTGGATTTAAAAGAGGATTTATTGAATCATTGAATTAAATTTATTATTTGTGCTTTATAAGCATGTTGGTAATCCCACTATGCGGATTTGGTTTATTGATAAGGCCTTGGACTTTGTATGACCGGGTCTTTCCTAAATAATAGCCTTGTAACATAAGGAGACTAACTTGAGGGGTGTGCACACTTAGGAGAGGAATTGGTTTTAATATGAGGAATTGGTTTTAAAATAATTGGTATTGGTTTTATTGATTATTGATATTATAATATTGAGAATCAGTTTTGAATCATGAGTTTGGAATTATTGGATTAATTATTGGAATTGATTTCAAAAGCATGTTTGCAAATAAATTGAGTTTAATTATCTTGCACTTATTGTACTTAGCATATTTTGCTAACCCGTACTTCTTATTTGTTTTGGTTCGCCCTGTTTACCGTAATGGTAAGCAATGTTGCTTATTTTCAGGTGGAGTCAATAATTGATGCATTGGAGTCCCATGATTGGTTTCAACTAAATTAGGAATTTTTGGTCTTGTATTAAATTTTGAGTACTCATGACATTGGTTACTATTTATGGTTATTATTAATAAAGAAGAGTATTGAAGTTTCCGCCGAAAGTATTGGTTTATTTAGTAAGTTTGAGTAGCCTTGCGTAATCATGCGGCGATAAAACACCTAAGTCTATTCCTATGAGATAATTATACGTATTATACTAATATTTCCGTAGAGGGAGATTTGGGGGGTGTTACACAATCAATTAATACTCCTTTCGTTCCTTAATAATTGACACATTTGAAATATTTTTTTTCATTATTCATATACTAACTTTGACTATATATAGTATATTAGTAACACATAAAAAATAAATTTTATCATGAAGTGCCTTGTTAAAAAGGAGTAAGTATTAATGTAAAGTTTCATAATATTCCCTTTTTTTATATATTTTTTTTTACTAATATTGAATCATATATGTCTAAGGTTACACGAGTGCATTGTCATGTGTGTCAAGTGTAGCTATATCAGTTGCTCATGAATTTATGGAACACATAAACCTAAATAAACTTTTAATCATTAGAGGTTTTTCAGTGTGGCAAGCCACATGGTGCGGCACGGGTTACTTGTATTATGGGGTTACTTGTAAGGTGTTACTTGTATTATTAGGTTACTTATATGGGTTACTTGTATCGTGGGATTACTTGTATTCTGAATAACTCCTATAAGTAACTCTAGACCAAAATCCCATACCAAATCAGTAATACCCTACAAGTAACCCTTGATCAAAACCAGTAACACCCATACAAGTAACCCTAGAATACAAGTAACACCTATAAGTAGCCCCTGACAAAACTAGTAACACCCTACAAGTAACCCCGACCAAAACCAGTAACACTCATACAAGTAACCCCATAATACAAGTAACCCCATAATACAAGTAACACCTACAGGTAACCCATGACAAAACCAGTAACACCCTACAAATAATCCTTGCCGCATCATGTGGCCAGCCACGTACAAAAGTTTGTATTTAATCATTTAATTAATTTACACAATCTAAATCACTTTTCATAAATAATCAACTTAATTATTTCAACAAAAAATAAATAATCAACTTAATTACTTAATTTAGGATCATATATCAGTAAATTTGATATTGTTTTATACTACGCATTAATAGTATTTTGCATATGTGGATGATGAAATACTACTCATCAAATTAAACTACCATCTACTTTATTAATCGGTTTTTTTTTTTTTAACTCAAATGTACATACCTGGCCTGTATGCTTTCATATCAGGAAATTAATATATTTATTTTCATCTAATATTTTATCTTTAATATATGAATCCCATATTTGCGTGACAAAATCGTAATAAATAGTTAAAATAAATAAAGGTTTTAGTATCGTACGCATCGCCGTGTATACAGTACTAGTTTACATATGTAACAAGGTCATAAATAACAAAATGAAAAAGTATTTTTTTTTTAAAGTGCATCAGTTTGATTAACGCGTAATTTTAGGAATATGAGTTTAATAAAGTAAAATATTGTGTGGTAATAGTTTATTAAAAAGAAAGGGATGTAAGAGAAGATAAATATTTTTTTTTTAAAAAAAAAAGAAAAGAAAAGGAAGTGGAAACTGGAAACCATGTGAGGAAATAAAGATACAATTTAGAAATTAAAATTAATGAAGATGTTCAAAATAGGAAGTGATGTCCTTAAATAAAATATTGATTGAGAAAAATAATACACTTAAATATAATAAATGAGAGTATATGTGTTTAGCGTAAAAGCCAATAGAGTGTAACTAAAAGATAGTGGAAGCTAAGTAATTGGTAGCCAAACAATCACTTATCATGTAACATGATTTACAAATGTCCATGTAACATAGGCATTGTATGTTTATAATTGTTTAGTGTATAAAAAGTGAAATAAATAAAGTGAAGAGAACGGAGCCTAATAAACTAAGTTGTCATGTTATATGAGACATCAAATTATTTCCTTTCTGTTTAGATTGTATCTTAAATTAATGGTTAACTACTATACTACTCTTAGCTAATTGCATTAACCGATTGTATTTTCTAACCATATTAAAGTGTTCTGTAATTTATTGATTGTTTAAAGTTGTTTGAGTATGCAAAACAATCAATAATGATATTGATGCACTTAAATTATGGTGGAGCTTTGGGTTAAATAAGGGTATAATTGTTTGTTTGCTTTATAATACTTAAATAAGCTTACTCTTCAGATAAGCTGACCATAAGCACACTAATTAGCTTATAGTAATTGGTCAAATTAGCTATTTTGCCTTATTAAGCTCACCACCAAACATCTTCTTGAGGGTTGACTACCATTTTACCTCTTATATCCACTTTTTATCAAGCAAAATAACTTGATGAAATAGTTTTTCC